CAAAATGTCTTCCTAGTTGCACTACACAAAGACACATTCACAACACACCTTGGTGACTTTCTCTATTTTATTTTTTTTCTCTCTCTCTCCTCCACTTGCAACTAACCTAGTCCAACTGACCTAGTCTCCCCTTATGTGAAGAAGAAGAAAAGAAATGAAAAGAAAAGAAAGAAAAAAATTAAGAAATCAACACATGGAAAATGAGCTACACTATCCAATTATGCACACGCAAATGTCTATAGACTTAATGGGGGGAGAAGGATATAAAAATAAAAATAACCTCAAATAAACAAAAGAGCGAATCACCAAAATGGACCTGATGACTTCTAACACAACATAACCAGCCGACTCCAATGATGCACTTCCAAATACGTCATTCTCACACACCATAAACCTTGCTTCATTTCTCAGATGTAGAAACAAGTTAAGAAACTGATAAATAATAAAAGAAAATTAACAGTAATAGTGATAATCATAACCATAATCATAATAATGATAATAATAATAATAGTAATAATAGTAATGATCAAATAATAAGAAAAATAATGCTTATATTAAGAATTATAATTACAATAATAATATTATGAACTAAAATTATAATAAATAAAATAAATAAACACAAGAATAATCAAAATAAAAAAAAGAGAGAAGAGAAGAGACTGTGCACAGCAAGATGTCATATTCCTTCAAGCACAAAAGGTCATCATAATCATCATCATCATCATCATCATCATCATCATCATCATCATCATCATCATCATCACCACCATCCACACTTGACATGCACACCGCCTTACCTTTTAGGGTGCTCCTCTGTGATACCTCGATATGTCACCCTTTCAGCCATCTCTGCTTCCACACTCCCATCCTTGCTGAAAACACTTCCCAGGTCCTTAAATATGTCCATCACCGCTTTATCTAAGCCATCCAACCCTCTCTTTTTCTATTGCACTCACACATATGGCTCTGATGCAATATGGCTCGTTCTATTTTGCCCTTTGGTATTATGATGAATTATATTCTTGTTTTATTTATTTTCATTTTTTTGTTAAGAATTTATAATCAAAGTAGCTTATAATACTTCTCACTCATATCATCATTTTTTTTTTTTTTTTGAAAATATTTAATATAAGCAGAGATAAAATCAAGAAAGAGATTAACATAATCAGGTATAAAATCAATCTATGTCATTTAGCTTTTCACTAAACCCAATTTCATAAATGAAACAAATAGAACAAAAAATCTTAAACTAGACAAAAGAATCAAGAAGCTGAGAAGAAAGAGAATAGAATATTGGCAAGATGCATAAGTTTTCCCTTAAAATTTTAAATCTAAACATCCATATCTTCACATACAGGCATACACACAAACTCTACTTATACTCTTCAAGAATCATGAAATCTAAATCTTTATGTGGTTTTGCTTTTTGCTAGTGGCATAGGAAAGAAGGAGGGGGAGAGAGGGAGGAGAGGGAGGGAGGTCCAGGCGGAAGAGGGAGGGAGGGGGGGGGAGGAGGGAGGAGAGAGAGGAGAGAGAGAGGAGAGAGAGAGAGAGAGAGAGGAGAGAGAGAGAGAAGAGAGAGAGAGGAGAGAGAGAGAGAGAGAGAGAGAGAGAGAGAGAGAGAGAGAGATTAAAGTTTAAGATTTAAAGATTTACTTTTAATTCCATTTGTTACAATGGATATTCTTTGCTGTGATATACTGTCTGTTTTATTTTGCCCAAATCTCCCCCTGTGTGCAAGGAATGGCCGGGGTTACCATTCACTGGCCGGGTGTGGGATTGAACGCAGGTCTGCAAGATTGCTAGACGAATGTGCTCACCACTGCGCCCGCTCAGCACACTAAAGAGGGAGAGAGAAAGAGAGGAGAGGAGAAGAGAAGAGAAGAGAAGGAGAGAGAGAAGAAGAGAAAGAGAGAGAAAGAGAGAGAAAGAAAAAAGAAAGAAGAATAAGTGAGTGCAAGTGTTAACTTTAACTTAAAAGTGAACTTAAATCTGTGACCTGCTATCTGCCTTACTTGCAATTGAGAAAATAGATTTTAAATAATACACAAACTGGGGATGGTTCTTTGATAAAATTATGTTTTAATTGGTATGGAAATTACCAAACTGTTAGGAATTCTATAACATAGAAATTTTAAAAGCAGTTGAAATCATTCAATATGCATTCAATCATATGATGATTTAAGTCATATTCAATAATCTGCATTAATATGTGAAAAAAACAGCAAAGGATCTACTGGCATTTTGGAGTATACCTAATGCTGTTTTTCAAAGAAAATACTTGATATCATAAAGAATACCCCAGCCACCCATCCACACCATCACACACACTACCACAGAAAACACTCCAATATCTCTTCTTTTTTTTCTTTCTTTCTTCATAGCCTTTATAAATAACAGTGAAAGCTGCTAAAAGAAAGGTCATTGCCACAGTGCAGAAGGAATCGTCACTTATTCTCCAGAATGGAAAAAAGACAAGCCAAAGTTCAAGAGGTTCACAGCAAAAATCTTAAGAATTACTTAATCCTCTCTATACCATGTGGTTTTGTTTTTATCAATTCATTCATGGTTCCAGAATGCTAGTCACGAAAGTCTATAGGAAGTAGTTCAAACTTGAATTAATATTATTGATTGTAACGGTAAAATGATAATAATGATAATGTTCACACCAATCATAACAGTAGCAGAAGCAGAAATCAAGGAATGGTTCAAAAGAGAGATATCAATAGGATCAATAGGTTTAGCAACTGACTCCTAAGCATTTGTGAATCTATGAACAATGTCAATAAAACAAAGCCACAGTGGACAATGCATGTACTTGGCACAATGGGTTAATTTCTTCAGTTGCATAAATATAGGCTAAGCCTAGTTTCCCTCTTCACTTTTTCATTGATTCTCTCACCGACCAAGTGTGTTACAAATCACTGCATTCACATTTATTACCTTTCTTTGTCAGTTTCTCATTCAACAAAAGACAAAAAAATAGTAGTTTCACCATGAAAAAATAAAATAAAACAAAAAATAAAACAACAAAAAATAAAAGAATCCATTCAAAGCTATATGCCAAAAAGCAATGATTACTTGATTATGGCAAGGTATGAAGAGTCTTTCAAAAGTTTGACCTCTATACTTTGATACAACTAGACCTACACCCAAAGTCTATATTAATGCATTACAGCAAACAGAAAAATAGGGCACCCATCCCTTATTTCCCATATAAAAAGTGAACAGAGAGTCTATTCTTTAAAACTTTTATCTGTCAAATTTATTGATTTCATTAAAAGCTATAATATAAATATTTTTTCTCTCCTTAAACTCAATATTACTCATACAATTTGCAATTGGCTTTATTTTTGTTTATATTCTGTGTGGGTGACTATTTTTATATGATACTTAACAAATCTTTAGATAAGGCTGTCTATCTATTTGTTTTATATGTAATACCTACTATAATTATGAAAAATGGTCTTCTATCTCATTCACATTTATGACTAATGGACCTATGCTTTGTCTGGTAAAAAAGTTGTGCCATGTGAAACATGAACCACTAAATTGAGCATAAAAGGTAACAAAAGCAAAAGGTGAATAAGAGAGACAGAGAAAGAGAGAGACAGAAAAAAAATCCTTCTATTTCCTTTTTCACTTACCTATTTCACCCATCATTTCACCTGGTTCTCCATACTGCCATCCAAGCACTTTTACTGATCCTTCCTATGACAATCACACTCATCCCTTGCACAGCACTCTGAGAGATGCTACTCTAACCCTCGATTAATCTTTAACAAGCGCACCCCTATCCTCACACACCTCGAAGGAATTGCTTTGACCTAACACTCCAAGACTGTTATGACCAGCATCTACCTGTTATCATTTATTATCTTTTGATTATTTTGATTATATCCCTTTTTTTTTTTTTTTTTTTTTTTTTTTTTTTTAGGCAAACCTGTAAACATTTCTTTGGTGTCCAAGATGACAAGTCAAAAGAAGACAGAAATGAGGGTATTAAATATCAAATGGCCCATTTGTAACTAATGTGTGATGATGCTGTTTCTCCTGCTTTTTCAAACAACAATAGCATTTGTATTTCTCAAGACACAAATACAATATGAATTTTGTATGCATGCTTCCACAATAGGGGCCAACATCTAATATACTCATGAGATGATATTCATTTCCAGCACAAAGCAGCATACCAATGTCATTAATTACAAACTGGGCTACAGAAAATCTACACAACATACCCAACATACCTAGCGCCTTGCTTAGGTGGAGTTTCCAGGGGGCTGAAATTCAAAACAAAGCAAAAAATCAAACAAACATGCACAAACACTCTATAGTTGAACAAAAAAGTAAAAATGGGGAAAGGAAACAAAAAATAAAATAAAATACAAATTTGAACTAAAAAAAAATATATACGAGTTAATTCATGGTTGAGATATGTGAGTGTGTGTGTGTTTGGTGAAGGGGATTACATGAATAATTAAAGGAATGTAAAAACAGGAAAGTAAAATAATGAAAATTAAAAAATCAACACACCAACAAAAACTGGAGGCAACAGTATTAGTTTGTGCCTTGAGTAACAACAAAACAAAAAGAACTAAAAATAGACTAATAACAATAAACAAACAAAACCATAATTTGTCTTTGATCATGACATTTGAGGAGCTATTTCCCCTTGGTGGTTTTGTAATGTGAAGTAAGGGTCTGATTTTGCAAAAAAATATTTCAGAAACTAAAAGAGGGAAAAATAAAATGAATAAAACATGCTACATAAAAAGGGGAAACCCATGTCAATAAACCTTAAGTAAATTAGGGGAAAAAGTAATATTGTGAAACCTGAAGCAAGTTCTGCATCAACTATATACATATAGTTTAGCTCTAAACCAATCTGCAGCATGCAGTGAGTGTTCTGTATTCTAGCCATCCTCTATTTCAGTGAAGCAGTCCAACAAATATGAAGAAATTCAATGACACTTACTAAGATCTTTAAATAATCTCTA